CCATATTGTAATTGGATATGAATTTTAGAAACAATTCATGATCTTGTATTTGGAGATTTTATGATATTAGAGCAGATTTTAAAAGTTGATCTTCAGATTTTGGTGGTATCAGAGTACAGTATGATAAGTTCCGAGCCTTGTGCATTTGTGGGACCTTCTCACGAGTGCACGGCGTCTGTCGCGTCTCGAAATTGGGTTTTGGGGCGTGACAGTTATATCACGGAAGAATGTCTAATTTTCTACTCTAGATATTCAAATGATATTGAGACTAAGTGTAATCAATTTAAAAAGAACTTTGGTGGCAACTGTTGTGACTCAAATGAAGGGCTATTTATATTTGTATAAGTTGGCTATTTTTTATCAAAGGATGAATGTGGGACTCTTTTTGAACATGAGAGAAATCAAACTCATCATTATGTCTTAAGAAATTGTGAAAAATTCAAAGTTTGATAGAATATGCATCTTTCTACTTGGCTTGCATTTTTTTCTTTTCTTATCTTTAAATTTATTTTTAGTAATTGTTGTTTATTTTATAGACAATATAAGCATCAAAATCAAAGTTTAGATCTTGGTGAATGGTTTCATCATCGTGTATGAGTATCTATTTATTATTGTCTATCTATTTATATAAATTTTAGTAATTAATATGAAATTGCAAATTGACTGTTTTACTTATGCTTCAATAAGTTATACAATTATACAAAGAAAGTAATGTACAAGTAAATGAAGAAATTCTTGCTCTAGCCATACGTCCTTTCCCAGGGGTACAATGATTTACTAGAAAAATGGTAAATGGATTTAGATTTCACATAAAAAAATTGAAAAAGGAAAGCCAAAATAGTGGTACTTTATTAAAGAGGGTGTTGGGCATAGAAAATATAAACTATTATGGAGTCCTTAATGAAACCATAGAACTACAATATTTCAGGGAAAAACAAATAGTCATTTTCAAATGTGATTAGTGGGATGTTGTTAACTTTGGAAAGGGAGTGAAAACAGATAAATATGATTTTGTTAGTGCTAGCACCACTTATAAGTTAAATGCTAAGAAGCTATTTGTGCTTGCCTCTCAAGTGGAACAAGTCTATTATGCTAAAGACAAATTGAATCCTAATTGGCTTATAATACTAAAAGGTTAGTCTAAGACTTATAATTTGTTATTTATAGAGGTACCAACTATTGATACACTTGAGGTAGATGAGGATGCTTTTCAATAAAATGTGTCATACTTACTTGATACTTTTTAACACATTAAATGATGATAATGACTTGTTAAATTTAAAGAGAGTTGATATAAGTCCTATTAGTGATGGTTCTATTGTGATTGATGATGGTAAAGTTGAGTCAGAAACTAAATCTGATAATGATGATAGGGATGTAGCCAAAATCTTACTATTATAGATTTTTAGCTAATTGGATGTAGTAGGTGCTACTCATTTGTAAGTTTTATTTGGTGATATTTACAAGGTTTTTTTTTATCTAATTTTTCTTAAGTAGGGAAATTTTAAAACTCAACTTCTATTTCTATTTTTTAAGCAGTCATATTAGCAAGAACCCATGTCCAAATTGTTATCGATTTATTTGTGGAATTAAATTTTGGAATCATGGCTTTCTTTGTCTTAAACTTATTGTGTTTTATTTACCATGACTTTACTAATGTTATCTATTAAGTTATAAATTAGGGTTTAGGGCTTATATAAGTTGTGGTTTAAATGTGATCATACAAATATCAGGTATATCTAAATTTATAAGAAGAAAAGGGATAATGTGAATATTATGTGACATTTTTTAGCGTAATTTTATAAAGTGTATATATTTTATTCAATAAATTATATGTACTTCCATATATTCATATAGAAACTAGACTTGTCTCTTCAATCAAGCAATAAATTCTTTCTTCTCCACTTTTCCCGCAAAGTAACAAAATGGTGTACTTCTTACCTTCATTTGTTTGCTTCAATCTATTGATCATTTAGTTTCAATTTCATCGCATATTCATTTACGCCTATCATGTGAAATTAATTATAAAACTTGAAATTTATGGCTCAACAACTAAATTAGGTACAATATAATAATTTTATGAATATGATAGATTTATTATTGCTATAGATTTCAAATAACTATTGCTAGAGAATTGAATTAGCTACAATATAATAATTTTACGATTGATGAATTTATTATTGTTACGACTTCTAGTATATCTAGCTAAACAACTAAATTGGCTATATTAAAATAATTTTATGGTTAAAATCAATTTATTATCGCTACGAACTTCAAATATTTATGGCTAAGCAATTAAATTAGTAATAATATAATAGTCATGGTTATTAATTTGTAGCCAAAAGACATACTGTACCATAGCAACAACTAACTATTGGCTTCAAAAGTTTTAGACAGGTTAAAGAAAATACAGTTAGTTATGATATATAATCATATGGTTGTATGTATATCTTAGCTATAACACATTCTATAGCTAAGAATTTGTAGTTGTGGATGGAAAATTTAACAATGGGTGAAACTAGAAAAATTTTTTAGGTGGCATAAAGATACCTATATTAAAAAAAGCATCATTGTGCATCAATGAAAAAATCAATATATGAAAAAAATTAATACAATAAATTTATTTTAAATAAAATATATTGGTCATGTTGTAAATGATGTATAAATGTCATTAGATAAAAAACATAAATTGGGTAAAAAATGCTAAGCTAATAGATAAAAAATTAAAGAAAATGATATTAATAAACAAATATTTTATAAAAGTATAATGATAAGGAAATAGAGAAAATCATGTCATCTAAGCATTTAGAATGCTAAGACATTTAGTAATAATCACATGATGAATTTGATAAAATTAAGACTCACAATATATCCCACATATTTAGTGGTTGTGATTAGATGTTCTGGCATTCAAATGTTAGGATATTTTGATTTTCCCTTTTCCTGTAATAATAAACATTTTTTATTCCATTAATCTTTATTTTTCGTTATTTTTAAATTATTTTTACTTCGTTCACTTTTCTTACTTTCACCAAATGAAATCTTCAACAATAAAAAACTATCAAATAATTAAAATATTATGAAATAAAAAATGATAGAAATAATAAAAACAAAAGTTACTAGACCTAATTGATTCTTTTGCAAAAGTTTAGTGATCTAGGCTTTGGCAGGTCTCCTCTCTTTCCTAATATATATATTCACTCATTTAATAGCACATCATGATTGTAAGTTTACAATATTTTAGCTAAAGTAAAATATGAGCCTTCTTAGATGTTTTAAATTATTATTTCTCTTGAAGTGTGCTTATACAATCTTTGGTAATCGAGGACCCTTTATACTTAAAGCATGTTTGGTTAACATAAATGGAAGGAAAGTCAATTTTTTTTATTAATCAAATTATAATATTAATAAATAATACAAGCCAATTAGTTTAAAAAAGTCCTTTCCTTCCTTTCCCTTCCTTTCTATCAAACTAAACAAACCCTTAATTTTAAAAATGTACAATTTATTAATAGTACTATAAATTTAGCTTCACTTTATTATGAACATGCATCTCAATTCATTGAGAATTCTATCTAATATTTATTACTAATAAGGCTTCTCATGAATATTTATCCAAAAAAATGTTAAAAAATTCTTATTAAAAGGAAATTATCATGCATTAGTTTTTATGTAAATATTGACTCTATTTAGTCTATTTGTCAGAATAGTAATAATAATAATTATTAATTAATATCATATAATACACTTGATATCTATCAATTGATAATTTAAAATTAACTTATTGAATTTTCAAATATCATGACTAGCTTAGATCTTATGGAGAACAAAAAAAAAAAAAAAAGCAACTAAACTAAATGCAGCCATCGAAAGAAAACCTTCAAATATATTTTTTTATTTCATGTGTAATAATTGCACACTCAATTCTAAAATTCATACCCTTAACTATTGAGTCTTATTATATAAACCTTATAATAGTACTAATATGGGACACTAAGAATTTAGATTTGTATCTTCCGTAGTTTGTCCTAATCTATAAGCAAACAAAGCAATTAACTGAAAACAACCCCTTTACTATGAAAGATAATCAAGGATAATCAATCGGTTCAAGATTTCAAATATTTTATTGGAAATATTAATCACTATATATACAATTTATTGTTACAAATTCTGTTTCTTTATGCAATCTCCATGTATAGTATTTATGTATATATAGATATAATGATACAATGAATAAAATCATTGCTTATCATTCTTATAAACCTAGCTGCTGTATTAGCGGTATTAGAGCCACCTTGGACTAGCTCCCTTGTTTTTCCACAATCATGGTTGACCAAACCTCCTCAAAAACTACCTTTGGTGCAAGAAAAATTGTTGTTCTTATTACCCTAACCATTGCAAAAATTGTTGTATCTATAATTTTGATAATTACAAAACACACTTGAATGACAAATTTGTTTATCAAAGTGTGTAGTTTATGACTTAAAAGCTGATAAGAGTGAATGAACTTGGATTGCATTGAAAAAGCAACAAAATGTTGAAATTAACACAGAGAGTAGGCTATAATTTTTTACAACCGGCTTTGGTGAAATGGAAAAAAAAAACATAATGAATTGCAGAGAGCCAGCTCTACGATTTTGTAGCTAGCTTTAGTAAAAAAAAAAAGTTTGAAGATTCGATTATAACTTATAAGATATGACTCCCAAAATTCCAAAGAGTTTCGAATGCAGGGCAAATTCAACTCTCCATTTGGAGAATCAACTCTCTGAGTTCAATATTCAATTCTTAGTTTCAACATTCAACTCTTGGTACTCTTGATTTGCATGAAGAAAAATTGGCCAAATTCCAAAAATTCATGAAGAGTATACTCTTAGTTTGGAGAGTCAAATCTAGGCCTTATAGATTCGACTCTTGGTCTTTAGATTTGACTCTTGGTTTCTAGATTCGACTCTTGACTGGACAGTAATGGCTAGTTTTTCAAATCTAACTTGTTTGTTGAGTATTTAATGCATCCCAATGGCTATAAACGTCTAGTTTCGACATTAGCCCTATAAATATGATTGGTAAACATCTTGGAAAGCCTCTAAACACATATTAGAAGATCAAAAACAAAAGTTGAGCTTAGATTTATGAATCCTTTCAAGCTTGAGCTTACACTTGCAAATTAGATCTTTGAGAGATCGTATTCTTTGTAATCTTTCTTTCTATTGTTTCTTTGTGAACTTAGGAGTAAGTGAAGCTCCAAGAAGAGATACTTAACGGTGTAGTGAAGCTTTCAAGAGAGAAACCAAGGAGGCTTGTTGGGGTTCTTTGTAAAGGGCAGTGTTTGAATGAAAAACATATTGCAAAAGGATTGGGTAGCTCCTTTAAGCTACCCTTGAGCACTAATGGAGAGTGTAGAGGAAATCTTTGGTGAGTGAAGCCAGGGTAAAACATTAGGTGTCAACTGGTTTTGTTGAACCTCTATAAAATCATTTGTGAAGGCCTTTGTCCTATAGTTCTTTGTTTTCATTTGGTGGTTGCAAAAAGAAGAAAAATTTGAAGACTCCAATTCACTCCCCTCTTAGAGTATTTGAGCCAACAAAAACTACTGTCATTCTCACTACTCCAAACTCTATTAAACCTCAAAAGCATAGCCATGTCATAATCTTCAACATGGCAACACAGTTTCCAATACAACTCACCTCTAATAATTACACAATGTGCAGTAGACAATTTATTGCTTTACTCGAAATTCACTGCCTGAATGATTTCTTGCTAGGAACTCGAATTTGTGACCCTAAGGATGGTACACTAGATTCACCTTATGATGTATGAAGGAGGCAAGATCAATCCATACAACATACAATCTTAACTATAGTATTCAAATTAGTCTAGCCATATATGGCCAGTGTAGAGACATCTCACAAGATTTGGTATGTACTTAAAAGTTTCTATGCCAACATCTCCCAAACTAGGGTGAATGCCTTAAAGGTTGTAAAATCTTTGGTGTGAAGGACATGATATGGCTGATTATCTATATATTACAAAAGTTCTCATTGATTGAATTGAGACTACTAGAAAGGCATCCCTGACCAACTTAGACATTCACGTACACATCTTGAATGGCTTGGGACATGAAACCATGAGTTTAGGGCTTCTATTAGAGCCTAGGATAGGCCATCTTTATCCTTTGAAGATTTACAAGATAGACTTTTTGCTTATGAAGAATCACTGTAATGCGAGGAAGCTTTCAACACAGAATTGACATCAGTTGTTGTGCAATTTGCTGCCTTAAATTACATGTCAGGAAGATTTAACGATGTCTAAGGATACAAGGATACTACCCCTCGCAACTTTATAATTCTCCTAGGCTATCTTCATCCATCACTTACTCGTTCAATCTACCCTCAAAACAACTTTGTTCAACCAACATATGGTTTAAATGGAAATCATGGGCTCATTGGACATGGCCATGGACAGTACAATTGCAAAAATAGAGAGGACTAAAGTCATAGGGGAGGTCAAAATAACAGAAATTTCTCCAAAGGTACAATCATCAAAACAATATTGCTTGTCAACTATGTAATGGTTTTGGACATTTTGCTAGAAATTGACCTGAACTTAGAAGTTATGCTCATGTTGCAAATTTTGCTACCACCTTAAGTTCAAAAAAGAAAAAAGAAAAAAAAGATTAGTGGATTAACTCTAAGGCCTCAGATCATGTTACACTTGACTTAACAAATTTGGTGCTTCATTCTAAATATGATGGTCTTGATGAGTTATTATTGGGGATGGATTAGAATTGACTATATCTCATGTGAGTGAAACCACAATCCTAACAAAGTCTAAACCTTTATCCTTAAAAAATGTCTTATGTGTACCTAATGCCTCTCAAAATTTAATTTCAATTTCAAAGCTTTGCCAAAATAACAATGCCTTCGTTGAACTTTACTTAGATTTTTTTCTTATGAAGGATCACATCATGGGAGTGACACTTCTTCAAGAGCCTAAACAACATGGTGTGTATCGACTTCCAGTCAAAGGTCAAAGTCACTTTGATCTAATTGCATTAATTGGAGAAAAGGCTTTAGTCATAGATTAGCATGCAAGAATGGGTCATCCGTCCTTTAGGACATTAAAAAAAATCTTTAATTCAGTCAAGTAACCTATTTTGGATAAATTTACGTTTTCTTGATGTGAGTCTTGCTCTTGTGCCAAAAGTCATGAGTTTCCATTTGGGGCCTCATCTATTTCTAGCAATAAACCTTTAGAAGTCATTTACTCTGATGTTTGGAGCCTTGCCCCCACTTATTACAATGATAGCATCTTTTATTGTGCTATATTTATTAACTTACTTAGTCGATACATTTGGATCTTTCCCTTTAAAGGAAAATCTAAAGTTGCCTGTATTCTTGAAAAATTTCATGCTCTTATTAAGAATCAAACTAATGGTAAAGTCAAAACCTTTGTTGGAAGGGGTGAATATGTTGCCTTCCATACCTATACTTTCAAAAACATGGAATTTCTCAATTGTACCATGCCTCCTTGTACACCAAAACTTAATAGTATTAGTGAACGAAGGAATTGACATATTGTCGAAACTGAGCTAGCCTTGTTGCAAGTTGCCTCTCATCCTACAAACTTTTGGAGCCACACCTTCCATGTAGCGGTTTATCTTATTAATAAAGTTCTAGCGTTTAACACTATTTTTCCATTTGAGAAGCTTTTTCACACACAGCCTAGTTATTTAAAGCTTCAAATTTTTGGGTGTGTGTGTTCTCCTTGTTTACAACTGTACAATAATCATAAACTCCAACCCCAGTCTAGGAAGCGTGTTATTTCTCGGGTACTCTAGTGAGACTCTTGGTTACAAGTGTTTTGATCCTAGTTCGGGCAAGCTATTTCTTCCAGTCAGGTTCATTTTGATGAACATCATTTTCCATTTCACACTACACCCCATTTTCAGCCTGTGCTAGATATCACTCAACCTCGTCCACTTGTTGATCCACTTGCTGCCTGCTCTGCGACACACCCATGTTGTCTCCTTGTTGCGGTCCATGATCAAGGACATCAGGTAAGTCCCTCTTTGTCCTCATCTTCTAACCCAATTCCTCTTCTTGTGGACCCACTCACCAATAGCCTCACTCCCCTTGTGACAACTTCGACCCATCGGCCATGATCCATTCCCTCCGTCAGCCCAACTTGTTGGGTTAGGCCTATCCCTCCTATGTGGAGAAATGGCCAATATTTGTGGACTGAGCCTACACTTGTTAAGCCCACTTGAAGCCACATTTTGCAGCCCTTTAAAACAAACAAAGGAGTCTAATTTGGACAGCAGAAAGTGGAGAACACATGAGTGGACTAGCCGGCAGAAAAGAAAGTAAGGGAGAATTCTAGACATTTGGTACAGTACGCAGTTTTGCAACTTTGTCTGATCCGTAAAAGTTCATTGTTAGATTGAGCTAAAATTTGGTCTGGGGGTTCACAAGACTTTGATCTACAATTTGAACTGTCAGTTTTCATTTGGAGCTCTATAGGTTTAGTTCTTGTGCCTTGAACAGTAACTTGTATTTTGGTGCTCTGTTTTCTTGTGATCCCTTTTACTTTGTTGGCTAGTGGCCTATTGTTCCTCTTATTTGGTGCTATTTTATGCCCTTTTGGAAGAGGATATTGTGTACTCACTTTTATTATAGTGGAGCTATTTTGAGTGGGCTAGATGTCTCGTGATTTTTACCCATTTTTGGGGTTTTCCACGTAAAATATTGCGTGTCTTGTGTGGTTGCTTTGCCTTGGCTATTTTTACTATTCTATGTATTTTTTAGCTGCTGCCATAATTTATTTGGACTCAATTTAGCTTGCTCCTAACAATTTCAAATAGATTGGGGAAGATTTTGGTGTTGCTTTTGTTTCTGCTATGCTCAGGTGACACCTTGTTTTGCCCAACACACTGGTATCAGAGCATTTGGCTTGTTGTTTTCAGATATTTATTTGAATTATGGAGGCTAATGCGAGTAAAATGATTTGCTTGAATGGCACAAATTATCAGAAATGGAGAGTTAAAATGAAAGATCTCCTATCTGTGAAAAAGATGCATTTGTCGGTGTTTAGGACTCAAAAACTAGATTCTTTGACTGATTAAAAGTGGACTTTTGAGCACCAGCAAAGTTGTGGCTATATAAGGTAGTGGGTAGAAGACAATGTCTTGAATCACATTGCAAATAAGACACATGCAAGAACTTCGTGGGAAAAACTTGAGACACTTTATGCTTCAAAAACTGGCAATAACAAGTTGTTTCAGCTAAAGCAGTTGATAAACTTGAAGTACAAAGAAGGAAGTCCTAATTCGGATCATGTTAGTAATTTTTAGGGCATCCTTGATCGCTTGTCTGATATGGGTGTTAGATTTGATGATGAGATTTAGGGACTTTGGCTGCTTACTACTTTGCTTGATTCATGGGAAACTTTTCGGGTTTCCTGGACCATTGTTGCTCTTAATGGTGCTATGACCATGGAATATGCTAAGAATGGTGTCTTGAATGAAGAGGTGAGAAGAATTAATTAGGCTGCATCTTTTTCAACCTCACAGTCAGATGTTCTAGTCATTGAAGATAAGGGGATAAGCAAAAATAAGGGTCAAGGAGGCAGAGATAAAAGTAGAAGCAAGTCAAGGCCAAAGTACAAAGATCTTAAATGTCACCATTATGGTAAAAAGGGACATATCAAGAAATACTATTTTCAACTTAAAAAGGAGATGAGGTAGGAGAAGAAGAAAGACGATGATAATGAGAATCGTGTTGCGGTTGTTATTGATGGAGATCTTTTTTTTGCTGGTGATGAAAATGTCATCAATTTTGCATCTCATAAGACAAGTTGGGTTGTGAATTCTGGTGCTGCATACCATGTTACACCTAGGAAGGAATTTTCACATCTTATACTTCTAGTGATTTTGGGGTATTGAAGATGGGTAATGATGGCCAAATTAAGGTGATTGGTATGGGAACAATTTGCTTGCAAACCAACAATGGCACAAAGTTGGTAGTTAAGGATGTCAAGCATTCACCCGATATCCGACTCAATCTTATTTCTATGGGAAAGCTAGATGATGATGGTTATTGTAGTTTTTTTAGTGATGGGCAGTGGAAACTAACTAAAGGTTCCCTTGTTGTAGCTCGAGGCTCCAAGTCTTCCAACTTATATTTGATGCAGAGTTTCATTGTTGATGGCTCTGTTAATGTAGTTGGGAAAGATGAATCATCAGAGTTATGGCACAAGAGGCTTAGCCATATGAGTGTAAAGGGGATAGATTGTTTGATCAAGAAGAATGTGCTTTCTGGATTAAAGGAAGAAAAGTTGGAACAATGTGTTCATTGCTTGGCTGGGAAACAAAAAAGAGTTTCTTTCAAAAACCATCCTCCTTCAAGAAAGCCAGATTTGCTAGAGCTTGTGCATTTTGATGTGTGTGGACCTTTGAAGGTGAGGTCACATGGTGGTGCACTTTATTTTGTCACCTTTATTGATGATTATTCAATGAAGCTCTGGGTTTATCCTTTGAAGACCAAAGATCAAGCTCTTGGTGTATTGAAGCAATTTCAAGCCTTGGTTGAAAGACAAACAGGCAAGAAATTGAAGTGCATTCGTACAGACAATGGTGGTGAATATTCTAGACCATTTGATAACTATTGTAAGGAGCAAGGTATTAGGCATTAAAAAACTCCTCCCAAGACTCCTCAGTTGAATGGCTTAGTTGAGAAGATGAACATAACTTTGATGGAGAAAGTTAAATGTTTGCTTGTTGAAGCTAAATTGCCTATAACTTTTTAGACAGAAGCTTTTAATACAATGGTGCATCTTATCAATTTGTCTCCCACTATTGCTTTGGATAATGATGTTCTTGATAGAGTTTGGTATGGCAAGGATGTTTTTTATGATCACTTGCGGGTTTTTGGATGTAAAGCATTTGTGCATGTCCCTAAGGACGAGAGGTCAAAGCTGGATGCTAAAACCAAGCAGTATATCTTCATTGGTTATGGTCAAGATGAATTTGGCTATTGGTTGTATGATCCAGTTGAAAAGAAACTAGTCAGAAGTCGTGATGTAGTATTCTTTGAGGACCAAACTATTGAAGATATTGACAAGGCAAAGAAGACAAGTCTTCAAAGCAATGAAAGTTCTGTTGATTCTAGGCTAGCTGTTGAGACTATGGTGCCAAATGCAGTTGAAAATCATTCTCAAAATGATGAAGTCCAAGATGCCATCCATGATGGTCATGTACATGCAAATGATCTTGATGCTCCTTTAAATTGAGCAATGAATGATCAACAGGATGTTCTTATAGAGGTCTCGGTATATCCACTCAGAAAATCTAGCAGGGAAAGGAGACCCTCATCTCGTTATCCTCTTAGTGAGTATGTACTTGTCACTAACTGGGGAGAACTTGAAAGTTATCAAGAAGCCATGGAAAGTGAGCAAAAAATGGAGTGGCTTGAAGCCATGAAGGATGAGATGAAATCTTTGCTTGGTAATCATACCTTTGATTTGGTTAAGTTGCCAGAATATAGGAAAGCTTTCAAGAATCGGTGGGTTTATAGGGTGAAACATGAAGATGGCACCTTGGGTCCATGGTACAAAGCTAGACTTGTTTTTAAGGGCTTTAGTCAGAAAAAGGGTGTTGATTTTAGTGAGATCTTCTCTCCGATTGTTAAAATGTCTTCAATCAAAGTTGTGTTGGGTTTAGCAGCATGTCTTGATTTGGAGGTTGAACAAATGGATGTGAAGACTGCTTTTCTCCATGGTGATTTAGATGAGGAGATTTATATGGAGCAACCAGAAGGTTTCAAAGTTAAAGGCAAAGAGGATTTTGTGCGCAAATTGAAAAAGAGCTTGTATGGCCTGAAACAAGCTCCCAGGCAATGGTATAGGAAGTTTGAATCTATTATGAGAAAGCATGGATATAAAAGACTTCTTCAGACCATTGTGTCTTTGTGAAGAAATTTTCTGCTAACAACTTTGTTATTTTGTTGCTTTATGTTGATGACATGCTTATTAGATAACTGAAGCAGAGTTTATAGCAACTGTTGAAGCTTGTAAGAAGTTGCTCTAGATGAAGAGATTTACTTAGGAACTTAGGCTTGCTCAAAAGAGGTATGCAATTTATTCTGATAGCTAGAGTGCAGTTCATTTAAGTAAGAACTCTACATTCCATGGTAGGTCAAAGCATATTGATGTTAGATACCATTGGATTAGAGATGTCCTAGATTCTAAGTTGCTTGAACTTCAGAAAATTCACATGGATGAGAATGGGTCGGATATGATGACCAAAGCTTTGCCAAGAGGGAAGTTTGAGGCATGTTGCTTGATCGCTGGAATGGTGATCTCCTCCACATAGTCGGGAGGGTAAGAATTGTTGGGTTAGGCCTATCCCTCCTATGTGGAGAAATGGCCAATATTTGTGGACTAAGCCTACACTTGTTAAGCCCACTTGAAGCCACCTTTTACAGCCTTTTAAGACAAAGAAAAGAGTCTGATTTGGATAGCAGAAAGTGGAGAACACGTGAGTGGACCAGCCGGCAGAAAGGGAAAGAAAGTAGGGGAGAATTTTGGAGATTGGGTATAGTATGCAGTTTTGCAGCTTTGTCTAATGTGCAAAAGTTCACCGTTGGATTGAGCTGAAATTTGGTCTGGGACTTCACAAGACTTTGATCTACAATCTGAATGGTCAATTTTTCGTTTGGAGCTCTGTAGGTTTAGTTCTTGTACCTTGAACACTAACTCATATTGTGGTGCTCTGTTTTCTTGTGGTCCTTTTTACTTTGTGGGCTAGTGGCCTATTGTTCCTCCTATTTGGTGCTGTTTTTATGCCTTTTTGGAAGGGGATATTGTGTACTCACTTTTATTATAGTGGAGCTATTTAGTGGACTGGATGTCCCGTGGTTTTTACCCATTTTTGGAGTTTTCCACGTAAAATATTGCATCTCTTGTGTGGTTGCTTTGCCTTGGCTATTTTTACTATTCTGCATATTTTTTAGCTATTGCCATAATTTATTTGGACTCAATTTAGCTTGCTCCTAACAATTTCAAATAAATTGGGGAAGATTTTGGTGTTACTTTTATTTTCGCTGTGCTCAAGTGACACCCGTTCTTCCCAACACAACTACCTCCAAACTTCATTGGTCACCCCTTGACTCCTCACCACTCACTCATCCTTTGTCACCCGTACCTTCCAATGCCTCTATTTCCATTGAGCAACAAACAACACCCGTACCCACAAGGACTCATGCCATGACAACTGGGTCACAAAAAAATATTTTTAAATAAAAAAACCTTGTTCCATGCCACTAAACACCCCATTGACCCAACGGTTGAACCCACTTGTGTTAATCAAGCCTTGAAAAAACCAAAATGGCGGCAGGCCATTTTTGATGAATTTAATGCATTAGTGAGACAGGGTATATGGAGTTGGTTCCTCATGATAGTTCTTAGAATGTCATTCTCAGAATGTCATTGGTTGCAAATGGGTCTTTAAGGTGAAACGCAATAAAAAGCACAGGTTGAATGATTCAAAGCTCTCTTTCACCCTGAATCCCTAGTATGATGCCATTTTTCTACATAGCCAATAGGTTGAGGGAGAGATAAAGCCATGTATGATTAGAAAACTATATTCCAACCCCATTCTCTTTGCTGTTCTTGTTATTGCTCTAGCTTCAGCCATTGCTCTCTCCAAGGTCTCCAAAGGCCTTTCATGGTCTTATCTCTCATCTCCCTGGACCTGGGCCACCACTCCCGGTGGTTCCATTTCTTCTTCTCCTTCATCCCATGCCATCGTACGTATTGGAATCTCAATTTTGAATTTTGAATTTGTCATATATATACTCTATTTCAATATTCCTTAATGGGTATTCATTCATGTTTTGTGGCAGGACAAGAGGAAGTGGTTGTTGAAGGAATTCATAAACCTAGAACGGATCTTTGAGGAAGCATCTGTTTTGAGAGAAAGGTCATAGTGGGACGAAGGATTGGACGGGGTTGAAGCTGGCCTTGTTAGGGCTAGAGCTTTAATAAGACAAGCCATATTAGACCCCAACAGCACCACATCAGATCATCCAGATTCGGATTATGTTCCCAAAGGAGAAGTTTATAGGAATGCTCCTGCACTTCGTCGGTACTGATCAATCATATACTTCCTTTTTTCTTTGCGTTGTGTGAACCTGATTTTAACCTAGAATCAAGATTCTTAAGTAATTAGTATCATACTAACTCAACCAGAATCTTGTGGGTTCATCCATAACACCTCTTCATTAGTTTTCCAATGCTCAATATCATTGAAAGGTGGTTTGTTTCTAATGGAACTATAAGCTTCATTTGTTGATAAGGACATGGATTCCAATTATGGCATCGATTTTTGGTTCATTACTTGTCTCTTGCACTTGTCTACTAGATACATGTGCACCTTCTTGACTTAGTGAATATGTAGGTATTATGTAATGTCCCATTTTCTTTCTCATTAATTAGTTTCTGTAGGCAGTAGCCAAGAGAAATATTGGGAAAGCATTGGAGTCAGGAACACCCTAACTTTCAAGGTGCCTTAGTACTTGAAATGTGTATTATAAATTTATAAAATTATAGTCAAGGCAAGCATTGATATTGTAGACAATCATGGGAAAAATGTAAGGGTTTCGAACTGTGTCACCCACTATGGAGTCGGCCATATTACCTTAAGCCATTTGACTAGTACCAATGTAAACAAGGGAAATAATTATGCAGCTTTGAGATCATAATTCTACATGTAATTAGGACAACAAGTGCTCAAAATTGAGAATATGTTATATGTATTAGTCTTTGCTTTTGTTCTTTTGATCAGGAGTTACATGTTAATGGAGAAGATGTTTAAGATCTTTGTGTATGAAGAGGGGGAGCCACCTTTATTTCATTATGGTCCTTGCAAGAACATATACTCTATGGAAGGACTGTTCTTTGGCTTCATGGAATAGGATAAGCTATATCGAACATGGGATCCTGGTGAAGCCCATGTTTATTTCCTTCCCTTTAGTATTGTAATGATAGTTGAATACCTTTTCCATCCAATTATCTGTGACAAAGCAGTTCTTGGGCATACTGTTGTTCACTATGTGCGCATCATATCTAACAAGTATCCCTATTGGAACAGAAGTGTTCGAGTTGATCATTTTATGCTTTCCTGCCATGACTAGGTAAAATTCATCTGAGTTATACTACTTTGTTACTAAGATTTTAATTTTTCTGGTTTAATGTGAATGTAATTTTAGTTAACTGATTATTTCTTGACGGTTATGGGGGCCACAGGCAACCTGGTACATGCGTGAACTCGTCTGCAATTCTGTCCGAGTACTATGCAATGCAAATTCTTCAGAGTATTTTAATCCAAAGAAAGATGCATCGTTTCTTGAAATAAATCTAATAACAGGAGAAATTGAGAATCATACTGGTGGTTTGCCTCCATCATGTAGAATCGTGCTAGCATTCTTTGCAGGAAAGTAGTATCATGGTAAAATTAGGCCTATACTATTTCAACACTGGAAGGAAAATGATGAAGACATTCAAGTTTATGAAACACTTCCAAAAGGACTTTCATATCATGATATGATGAGGAAGAGCAAGTACTGCCTTTGTTCGAGTGGCAATGAAGTTGCTAGTCCAAGAATAGTAGAGGCAATTTACACTAAATGTGTTCCAATATTGATATCACAACATTATGTCCTTCCTTTTAGTGATGTTCTAAATTGGAACTCTTTCTCAGTCAATGTTACAGTGAGTGATATACCGAACCTCAAGAAAATTCAAGACCAATATTTGAGAATGCAAGAGTGTGTGAAGCAAGTGCAACGACACTTTCTATTGAATGATCCTCCCAAGAGATATGATTATTAATTGGAAATATACAATCAACACTTTTACATAATTGAGAAACAAAGATTAAGTTTCGAGATGCTTGGGGAATGCATAATATGTCTTTTAAAGGAAAGGAGTAAGAGGGAGTAAAGAGTGTGGTATGACCCATATGTGTAATATTCAAACCTGTTCCATCACCAATTTGGAGTTCATTAGGACCATGATACTTAGAGTGGAGTGCAAGGTTTGCCAAATCAGTGGTTACATGATTAGTTGCTCATGAGTCTAAGAGCCAATCATCGGTAGCTGTCACAACAAAAGAAGCAAAGTTAGCCTGGGGGTTCAAATTCTGGATCCGATGATAGGGACAACTCTGGGCAAAGTGACCAACCTAGTTACATAACTAGCAAGTGGGTCGACTAATGTTATTGGGCCTGGAGAATGAACTGCACCTTCTGTTGTTGGGCCTCTGCTAATATGAGTTTCCACCTCTAGGATTCTGTGAAAAAGTTGAAGGTGAGGAACGATTGTTTAAGGCGAGCGAAAAAGACCAACCTGTGATGGCGACATAGACTTAGGGATTGAAGCATAGTGTGCAGTTATTGGGGAAGAATCAGCCTTGAGTTCCTCTCGCCTAAGGCTTTCCTCATGAGCCACCAGTCGATCATGTAGATCATCAAAGGAGAGGGATGAATCACGAGTACGAAGAGAGGCTGCTATCTCTCGGAATTCTAGTCCCAGTCCATTCAATATGTAGACTGTAAGATCATCATCAGTGAGAGGCCGATCTATTGTCCCTAATTCATCTACCACAGACTTGAGCGCTCAGAGATATTCAGACACCAAGCAACAGTCACGACGCATGTTCTACAGGTGCTCCTTAAGGGTGATGACACGGGTGTGAGATCGATTTGCATAGAGTCTCGCTAATGTTTCCCATGCTTGTTGTGCCGTAGTTGCAGCGGCTATGTATGGTGTAATGCTCTCGGATATGGAAGTAATCAGTGCATGGCAAATTAACTGATCCTAGTGTGCCCACAGACTGTAGCTTGGTTCTGTGGCAATAGGGGATGGATGAAAACCATCCAAATAACTGAGGAGCTCAAATCCTGCAAGAAGACAAGTGAATTGTGATTTCCAAGATAAATAATTAGTTGGAGTCAACTTTAAGGGAAAAGCTGCGACGTTGAATGAGAAGGGGCCGCGCTGATTGTTGATCACGGTGGCTGCTGAGTTTGGGTTGAATGCATTGTTTTCAGAGGAGCTGCTGTTGGAGTCCATGGTTAGGAAGTAAAGAGGTCAGAGGTCTCGTTGGTGGTGGGCTCTGATACCACTATTGCAGTAGACTAATATGAAACTCTATTTCTGTATATGTTATTCAGCCATACAAGATGTGTTTATATACAAGATTGTCCTACTGTATACAGGAATTCTAATAAGACTAGAATAAGATCTAAGATACACATATTAATTGGAAATATACAATCATGGGTAATTACTTTACTGCAGCAGAATCAGTTTCCTTAATAACGATGTCTTTAACATGCTAATTCATTCAATTTGGCTCTGGAGGATGAATGTACGGATTTACAGTTGATATGCTACCCTATCAAAGCAACCTTGTGCATCATCAGTTTAGTGTGCCACATCCATATATAAGCTAAAAGGTCAATATGGGAAAGGAGTACTTGTTCGAAGAGGAGCTGCTTGGTCCCCACTACTTTTTTCTAAATTGTGTTTAACTTTCTTGAAGAGAATGGGGATTTACTTTTTTTTTTCTCCCATGGGTTGCAATAAGCTAAAATTGAATGACTCATTAATACTTAATACAAATTTAGCCAGGAATTCATTTAATTCTTGTATCAGTGTAAATAAACTACCATGCAATCTTCCTTATCTTTGTGAACACTGATATTGACATCTCTTCTGTTTCGGTCTTAGGTACCATACTACTATGCTCTGTGCCTCCACAGTGCACCCTTATGCAAGTAGCGATGTCAAGTAAAAATGTAACGCCTCTTATAGACTGATTAGTAAAAACCATGTCCAAAAGGCACTAGTTTAAGTAGAATGGTAAAAGAAGTGAATTCAAAGGTAAATCAGTACTAAAAATTTCCTAATGTTTCACATTAATCTATAGAAGCTATATATAGCCTTGATAAAGGACATCAAAAATGTAGAAAAATGTTAAGAGTAGAGGAAATGAAGTAAATTGAGATAGCTTGGTTAAGAAAAAGCTCACTACAAAAAGTTGTCTAGTGCCTCCTTTCTGGAGGTCGTCCCCGTGGAGAATGGATCGTGTAGACATTTTCTTTGGTTCAAGATCTTTTAGCATTATATTAATCTTTCATTTTAGCATAATCTGTACTTGTTGTAGTAGTTTCCTGATAGATAATGTTAGATCTGAAATATTTATCCAGATCTTAATTCTCCATCCAATAATTGCTGAATGGGGAAGAAAAGAATAAGATTAAGGCTTGGAAAAGATTTTCTCTCAATTTTCTGAAAAATAAATTATGTTTGATTTAGCTATACTACTACAGATATAGGGCCTGCTTGGTATAGCGGTTAAAATTCAGCGGATAGCAGTAGCGGGTAGCGGTTAACAGATAGTGGATGGCGGATAGCGGATAGCGGAAAGTGGATAGCGGATAGTAAATAACATATTCGATAAATATAACTGTTTGGTTATACAATAGTTAGCAGTTGTTGTTTAACATTAAATGACTAATAAGGATATGTTTTAAAACAAATAATTGTATTTTTTAAAATTTTTATTTTTTATTATGAAAATTATTAATTTTATAAAAATAATAATAAAAAAATAAATAAAATTAATTATGATAATATAATTACACCCTCATTTTTATTTTT